GACACACGACCGTAAGGCAATAAGGAATGCGACTCGATGTTCCGCAAAAGTCGCCAGACATTGATGGATGCTTGCCATTTTTTTCTTGGAATATATTACGTTATATTTTAAGAGCGAAGTGCATTCCCCATGCGCGTTTGTCCGTCGCCAGACAATGATCGTGTACATTATTAAATGTTCCGTACTCAAGTTGTATCTGTCATCAGATAAAACTAAAAAGTAATTCTGTAAACTGTACGCAAATTTTTTACACAGTACAATGTAATGTTATATCATTATACTTAATATCTTATAAAGTTATATATACTTTATATTAAACCTGAACTTTTTTCAAACTACTAGATAACAAAGTGATGAAGATTAATAAATTAAAAATAATATTACAAAAACAATAGGCAATTAAGAGCTTAATGCATAGTTATTATTAATGTATGTTACAATTGTTCGTTATTTTTGAGATACTGAAAGCTCGATTAATTTATACTATTAATAAATTAATTAGAATTAGAGAGAGAGAGAGAGAGAGAGAGAGAGAGAGAGAGAGAGAGAAATGTGTTTATATTTTTAAAATGTGCTACTTCTTGTATTATCAGATATAAATATATAATAATTTATTTTTGTATCCGACACTGTAAGCACGTTTGTGTTTTTGGGTTTAATAAATTTATTATTGCTTCCACAGCTCATATTAAATTGAATGTTTGCCACTATTTAGAGATCATATGAATCTAAATTAATAAATATCAAATTATATATATTACATGTATATTAAATTATATATATTATATATATGTAGAGATATAAATTTAATATTTCACAATATTCTTTTTGTGCAATTACGCCATTTGCGATTCTGATAAAGCGGAATTTGAAGAATTATCGAATAGAATTACGAAATTAAATTAAATTTGATCACATACAAACACACACACACACACACACACACACACACACACACACACACGCATTTGCTTTTTTTTTAAGAATGTAAACAATCTGATCCGAAAACTTTAAAATGCAATTAAAGTTAATCCATAAATTATGATGTCCAATTTAAATATTACTTTGTCAGTAAAATGGATTCTATTAATGATGGATTTACTCTCTTTATGTTCTTTTGGAAGTTCCAATTCAAGAGTCGTTACCAGCAGAGTTTCATTGTCGAATAATCATTGTTGAATAATAAAACCTTCGTCGATTATGTGCGTCACGTAAAGCAGCATGCATATAGGATCATGGCTCGAAAATTTGGTCATAAATGATGAATTTCGATGAGACCTCGGGTACCAAACACCGGAATATTCCATTCCACGAACGTCCTAAAATACCCGTTAAAGGAGTAGTTGCAGCAGTAAGTGAGAAAGAGAGAGAGAGCGATGCATCAAATCGCTCAAACGTCCGGCGTTGGTTCGGCAGACGTCTATAAGGCGACGTGCGTATGTGGCATAACGTGGAGTATAGTACCGGGCAATACCTGCGGTTGCGGCCGTAAAGAGAGTTCACAAACGACTTAGATGCTTTTCCGCTCTCTGAATTTTCCCTACCGTGGTCCGAACGACCGCGCGGAATGCGCGAATTCGCGTTAGGAAACGCCGGTAAACGAGTATATGCAATGTGCAGCATTGCCTACGTGCCGCTTCCGGTTTTTCGAGATGAAAACGGCCCTCATTTGCGCGGGATTGTTTGCGAAATTCTTGTGGAACGCCTTGTTAAACACACGTTGTCGACATTGTCGCCCCAACTTTGTGAGATTTAATTCGCGAAGCTATGTATTATCGGCAAAAAGATAAGCACGGTCATATCCGGATAGAGGGTGGCAAAATTACAGTCGACAGAAATACTTAAATCTGCAATTGTAGTGGATGGTGCAATTTATGATTATTCCATTTTGCGTTTTTTTTTTTTTTTTTTTTGACAATAATGTGTTATTCGCGATATTATATTTTAAAAATATGTAGAGCTAAATTTTAATAAAAATATTTACTCCAAACGAAAAGTTGAAGGGATTAAGCGATTAAAAGTGATTTACATTAAATATGTTTTATTAAAATGTATAAACACTTTAGCTTTACTTTATCTTTGTGATACGAAGTGATAATTTGATAGTAAGAATGGTGCTGATAATACAGAATAAAGTTCGAAGTCGGTCTGAAATAGAATCGACCTTTGGAAACGGCGAACGTTTACGAGAAGGAAAATGCTCTCGCACTTACAATGGTTTACATTCTGTAATAATCTTGAACTTTGATGACCGTCAGTGGTACGAAATGGAAAGCTAGATTGTACTACCGGTACGTGCTAGTCTGTTCTTCCAAGGTTTCATCGTTTCATACAAATGATTTTCAACTGTGAGTCTTCGAGTAAATTTACAAAGGGTGTATAGGTAAATATGCGACTATTCTGTTTTTCCGTACATGAGGATTACGTCAAGTAGTTTACCATCGAGCGAATGTTTGCTTGCCACTCGGCGGTCGATGGAATACTAAAGTTCTCTACAAGATTAGTATTTGCTCCGCAACTAGATTGGAGCTGATAAGTCAGGAAATGCGAAAACATATAAAATAAATTGAGTTATTAAATTGATCAATTTGTGTAATGCGTCTTTATTGTTTTATGTAAGAATAAATAACACGTTCATTTTCATTGAGTAAGAATGTGTGTCATTTTTCTACAATTTTGCTAATATTAGATCTGTTTTCTATGGCAAACCAGTGTACACTTTTGGAACTTAAAGCGGTAGGTACATATTTGATATTTGTCGAAAGCGCGAAAGAGAGTTCTATAGTGCAGGAATAGAAAACAGACCAATCGTTAGTATTATTATTATTACTAGTGATTATATATTATATTTTTCTCTCATTTTAATTATTGTAATCATAAATCTGCGATAAAGTTAATAAATCTTTCAACTGTGAAGAATTTTTCCGATCATTTTGCACTAAAGTTGTTGAAATGCAACGAACGTAAAAGAAATAATTCGCGAAGCATCCTGTGTGTACACAAATCCTCGGGGGTTGAAGGATTTTCATCCGACTCAGGGGAAAATCGGCCTAAACAGTTCGCAGCGCATCACGTCCCTATATAATAACGGATCGTGGAAACTCGTACGCGTCACCGCTCGGTAAGCCCGCAATCTACGAGGGTAGATCCCTCATACATTTTCCAAGGATCTTTACGGGCATCAGCGCCCTGCCGCTCTGTGTACTTTAATTAGCTCGACGTTCCTCTCTCGTCTCGTTTGGCTTGACGGTGCCTTTCAACCTTCCGGCGACCGATTCTAGCGAACATTTGCGAAATTGTCTCACGCGCCTGGGCCACGGGCCTTATTTGCCCCGAACTTTGGAAGATCCGGAGGTAGAAGTTAGGAGCTCGAAATCGAAGTTCCACGGCGAAGTGACAGTAGTACGCTATCTGAAATCTTAATGGAAGTGACGACACGGTGATTACCTCGTCGCTGATGGGACCTTATCGCTTGGGATGTGTCACTATCGAATGTTTGATTTAAGGAATGGCCGACGACCCGTCACCTACTTTACTTCGTAATTGGATCGTAATATGAAACAGGCATCGGTTGATGCAATGAAATTGGAACCAGGTTTTTATCGTAATACTAATGATATGGGAATGACAAAATAATAGCTGCGTTTAGCAGAAAAAGCAGCTTTGCAACTGTTTTGTAAAATTATTTTAATATGATTGATCTTGCTCTCAATTTTTCATTGGATCTGAATATTTAAACCAATAATATTAAGTAATTTAATAAAAGTTGCAAACCTGCTTCTTTTGCTGGACGCAGTCATTCTTATAAATAGAGAAAGCTTGAATGTCTGATTTGTAATTAGAGATTATAAATGAAATGTCATTTATCATCTTTTTCTTTTTAAGTGGCAATTTATAAACAAGTGCCTCTATATAGAAGCGAAGTTAGAATATTTATTCGAGCGATATTAAAAACTCATTTAATATTCGCATATATCAAATATCATTTTTCTCCTAGAAATAAGTGAGAATATATATAATATTTCAACTTTACTAAAGTTGCGCATAGTAATTTTTTATGCCAAAAACTATAGAGCAAAAGAACTATTATATAAGATGTACGATTGTAAAATCGAAATTGAATCGTAAAATCAAATTACAGTGGACTATAACTACCTATTTTAATTACAGACATTATCCAAAAGACTTTAAAGCTAACAATAAAGGAAATCGACTTCGAATTGATTTCATATTTTTAAAAAGAGAGTGAGAGAGATAGGGAGAAGAGAAAAGGAGAGACTTGTATTGTTCATAAATTCTAATATTTATAATTTAATTATAAATATTCGTTCGCGTAAATTGACAATAATTTTTTAATTAATTCATTTTTTCACCATAATAAGGTACATAATTAGTTACATAGAGTTACAATAATTTCCAAAAATAGTCCAGTTGTTTCTTATGATATTGCTATTGTAGTTTTGCTAATTCAAGACAGTTTCCAAGGATAAATGTATGATGTGCACATGTGATTTATGCATATTTATGAAGTACACACACACACATGTCAATCATTCATAATTTAATTATCGATCATAAATCGCACAATAATTTTTTAATTATTTTAACAATGATTGCAGATAATTAATTATTATAGAATCGTAATAATTTTTCTAAAATACAGCCTAGTTGTTTCTTGACTCATACGTTATGATACAGGTAGCTAATATTGCTGGCTTTGCTGACTTTAGATAATTTCAAAGGGCAAGTGTATACACACACACACACAAACACACACACACACACACACACACACACACACACACACACACACACACACTCTCTCAGTTGTTCCCAAAGCATATATGATCTCGAAGGCCAACTAATCTATCCTTATCCGTCGAGAAACGAAATAGATAAACAGTCATCGTCTACGAAAAGAGAGAGAAGAAGGAGGGAGAGGGGGAGAGGGAGAGAGGGAGGGAGAGAGAGAGAGAGAGAGAGAGAGAGCGAGAGAAGATAGCTGCGTTTCTCCTTCGATAGTATCGTCGCTACCGTGAGCGCGCGTGACGATTGTGTGAGTGAAGGCCGTACGGAGATAACTTCATACCACTCGGACATCGTTCGGCGATCGCGTCTCTCACGCGTTGGGAGTACTTAGGAGGAGGATTCCTCGTTATCGATATCAGTCGCTGCCGTCGTCGCCGCGTGTGCAAGTCTCACCAACTCCGAAACGTGTGTCGGCTTCCGCTTTTCGTTCGCAAGTCATCTCTTTCTCTTTCTCTCTTTCCTTTTGCCGCGCGCCGACGAGAGTAAACTCGTGGCGCGCCGTGCATCTCAGGCCCACAAACACGCGTGCTTCTATGTTCTACGACGTCGCTGTGGTACGACGACATGACGGCCGAGCTCGAGCACAGTGACTCTCGGATGCGATTACGCAGAACGAAGAGCGTCACGAGGGCGGAGGAGATCCAGAAGGCGGAACTGAAGGTCCGCAGATCGCAACCTGATAAGCCGTAAGTAACGCACTGTCACATACTGGCTTCCGTCATCGCCTTGCTCGCGTTTTCTCCCGTATTATCGTATGATGTATCGCGAAATCCACCCGTTGCGTGGACGATACCGATCGATCGATGTGACGTAGACCACGGCAGCGTGGATCGTAAACTCGTTCGAGCGACAACGGTACCGCGAGAACGGTAACGTACGCCGAGCGCACGGTGACGCGAATTTTTCGTCAGGTCTCGAGAAACGCACGACGTAACAGACGCGTTTCGTGTAACGTGCGCATGCTCATCCGTATCGCATCTGGCGAAGAGCCGTGGAGAGGGGATACCCCATTCTTCGCGACATCGCCCCGTCTCGCTCCGTTCCGCGTTGTGCATCCTGCTCCGATGCGTGCTTAATCGATGCCGGAGGTTAGCCGCCCGGCGGCACGGCATCCTGCGTGCGGTTTAGCCTACAGCTCGTTTCATGGCATCGGAGCGTCGCGGCTGTGTGCCGATCGCGAAATCGCGAAATAATAAACTCTAAACATGCACGCCCCGATATTGGAGAGAAAAAAAGCGTGGCTGTACCGTGGAAACTATTTTTTCCCTTGTTTCGATGATTTTTACGTTCCCACGGCTGCACACGGTTTTGTTCGTGATGCAACGCTCCTGTGGCAATGTGAATTGTTTAGAATTGCGCCAGTGTGTATTTATATCGGATATACGATGCTATTCATATTTTTAAAACTTGTAGGATTTATACATTCAATTGTTAGCATTAGTAAAGTTATAGTTACGTAACGAAGAATTGCAAAAAATATATTGTTCGTGATATCATTATGTCATTAGTGTAATGTTGCAGTAAACATATTGCTTAATAAAAGGAATGTAAATACTTTGAGGTCATGTTTTTGTGAAAGAAAATGTCATTTTATTCTAATAGACTTTTTATAACATGCAAAAACCATTGACATAAAAACACATGTGAATATCATGCATAATACAGAGATTGAGTTATATTTTTTTAATAGTGTCAGCACGATATCATTCATTATTACAGATATCAAGTTTTAATTCATAAAATTTATAGGACGAGTAACTTTAACGTGAATATCAAATTAAATTAAAAATTATGTAAAAAAATATTAAGGAATCATGTAATTTCTATAAAATAAAAAATCAATATGAGTTTGTATAAATTATATAAAATATATAAAAAATGATATAATGTTCTATATTATATTATTTATATAATTTATATTTCGTATAATTTATTATACTTTATTATACTTTATGTATAGTAAATTACACAAAACGTAGTAAACAATGTCCGATATATATGCAGTAATATTGTAATTTGTTTTTTGTAATAACGTGACGTCATTAACCTTTGCTTTATGCAAAAAAATTGTATTATACAAACTATATTATATATATATATACACATATATAGTTTTCTTTTACTTGTATGTACTCGTATTATATATGCACTGACAGTAACTACGACTTTATAACTAATAATTGTTCATGCCAGTCAGTTGACCTCTGCATTGTTAGAAATAGCATCGTATGAAATTGTTGTGTCAGCTTGTTGTATCCACAGGGTGTAAAATTAGACATCTGCATCGAGGAATATATCGATCATTTCTAATATAAGCAACTGTTCCAGTATAAGCAATTGTGAAGTTTTAGACACTTGTTCGACTGTACAAATCTCATTCGTCAACCCGGGATAAGTTTCTCCTTCGATTGCGTATAATTAATGCGCGCTCCTTGCTATTTCAGAGCTTCACATTGAAATTTGAAACCATCTATTCTCTTCTGTCGAAGTGTCTATCAACGAAGTCGAGTTAGACTTTGACTGTACATATTATGCTTACAACTTCGAATGTAAATCAATCTTTAACGAGATCGCACCATCGAATTTGAAGAACTTGGAGAATATCTTGTGAGAAATGCAAAATTCAGTCTCGTAAGACATTCTAGTTCGACTTTTACGCTTATAAAGACGAATTATATAAAATATGAAATAGATTATAATATAGAATTCATTTTTCAAGAAAGAAACTTTACACGGATTACTTCTCTCGCGTGATCTGTATAAAACTTTCATGATTCCACTCTATACATAATGTAATAAAAAATAATACAATAAGAAATTAAAGCCCTCCCCTCAAAATTATATATATATAATTTTGAGGGGAGGGCTTTAATTTCTTATTATGTTATTTTAAAGAGAGAAAATTCTATACAAATTACTTCTCTTGATCTGTGTAAGACTTTCATAATTCAATTCTATAATGTATAATATAACTTTGAAGAGAGGACATTGATTTTTTTTATTGTATTATATGTCAGTTTAATTCGTTTCGTGATACTATTTGGTTTCAGTTTGTTTCACCTATTATACTATTCAATATAATGCATGACTATGACATTTAAAACTAATAATTCTTAAACGTGTTTTGTAACGGCAAACTAAAAACTTGTTCCATTATACAACAATAACCAGTTATATTTGATATGCATGAACTCTCGGTGACGTATATGTTCGAAGTCGAAGGATATTCAGTTTAATATTGATTAACGATTAACAATAGCTTCTATTGAGGAATTAAATATTCTTTGAAATTGACATTAGAAATTGTGGCCTATATTCGTATTTCACTTTAATTGATAAATGCGCACATTTATCGATTAAAGTAAGGTGTAAATACGGATCTATGTGTTTAATATATTAATTAAATAATTTAATATTCATATTATTCTTAGTCATTTATTTTTTTCCAATAATTAATTATTAATCTGCCAATTACGGATGAATATGGAGAGGATATTAAATTTCAATTGAATAATTGTATATGTACCATGAAAATATCAACATAACCATTTCTCTCTTAAGAGCAGATAAATATTTTTTTTTAATTGTACAATGTAATAAAATTTATTTTCAAGTAACTGAAATTAAGTGAAACTTGAATGGATAAAGCGCAAATAAATAAAGTTGTCGTTTTGCAAAATATTTTAATCAAATAATATCGCTAAAATGATTATACAACATTTTTGTTGCAAAGAACGGCAAAAAAGTTTCATATTTCCACAATCTGTATGTTTCTCGTTTCTCCAAATATTATATTATATTTTTATTGTATCTCTAGAACCTAATATATATTTCTTGTAATTAATTTTTTGAATAAGTTTGTGTTAAACGAACAGTATGGTTTAATGAACAAAAATTAAACTGAAAAAACTTTAATAGAAATTTGCTTCGAAGCACAATAGAAATTGCATGAATAATAATGATTTTATGTTATGATTCTACCAATCAGTTTATGACATCGATATATTTGGTTCGGCGAACGTCATTTCCGTCAGTTAGACATCAGAAGATCGTAGGTCAAGGTTGCGGACAACGAACTTTCGATCACGCGATGCACAAACAGTTTAAACGCCTCCGTGAGCGCCCCGGTGAGCGTAATTAAGCTTTGGGTCGTACCGAGATTTTGCTTTAACTCCTCGGCAACCCCTTCGCAACATAGTCGTCACTCTTCAGTGGCTTCCGGAACCGCTGACGTTCCATAGAGTGGAATGCATGGCGAAGTATGCGCACCGGAAACACCATCTTTCAGTGTCGTTAATTAAAATGTTAATTCGAGTGACATGACAAAATCATTCTGACGCGATATCGTCGTTAAGATTTTTTTTAACGCCTTCGTATCATTAAACAATTCTTCTTACATGAAAATATAGCTCACGTTTATTTTTTAATGAACATCCGTTGTTTCTGTAGATTTTAGCATTTCTTTATAAAATGAATATAATTTTACAAAATCGAGTAAAATGTGAACTTGATTATACTTAAATTAATTATTAAAGCACGCGTATACACACAAAAATAAAAATAAAAAATATTAAAGAATTTTATTTTTCATTTTTAAATTTTATTAGTAAAGTTGTGTCTGTATTTATTTTTTGTATTTATCTCTTATATATTAATGTTTGAAATTGGTAAAATTTAGTTATTTTTTACTCTAAAACAAATGTGTTATTTAATTAATAATGTATAGTATATATAATGTTTTTTTTATCTTATTATAATATCATTAACGATAATGGTTTGATATTATTTCTCTCTTCCTCACATGTTTTTTATAATACTTTTTATAACAAATAGACTTTTGTATTGCAAGTTTTTTACATGGATTCAAAAATGCATCTGTCTCATTATCAAGTATTCACTGCTAAACTAAAAATTCTGCTGGCAATGGAAGCTAATAAATTGATGGTCTATTTATGGTTTAATTCGAAATAGAAAATATACATGTGGTTCAATAATTAAAATCGCTAATCAGAGTATTTCGATTTTGCGTTGACGTAAAACCATTTGTTTAATGCGAGTAGAACATAACAGAATACCGCTGCATTGAAATTGTACGCATTCAAATGCAGAATGCCGTACATTATAACGATTATATCTTTCTATATTTTTCTTTTTTGCATATTATAAAAGTCGATTGAGAGATTATATAGAATAATATATGAATAAATTATTAGTCGTAAAAAGTATTGGATTTGTTTACAATGTATCGTAGAACAGAGAATGCATGTAAACGTCGTAAAAACATTTATTATACTCGTGATTAATTAATTGTCACGTTCGACGTATTTTAAATGCGATTTTTCTGTAACATACAAAATAAAACTGATAAGGTATAATAATTTTTTATTACAAATATATCTCTGATATAGAGATGAACATATTTATGCGAGTTATTATTTTGTTTTATTAATTACTGGGAAAAATAACGAAGAATTGCAAACAGATTTAACTAATAAAAATATCAGAATAATTAAAATGAAGGAATAAAATCAATGTACATATTATTCTAATATTGACTTTAATGAGAGATTTCTCGGTGAACGAGAAAAGAATATTTCTCGTGGAAATAAAAGCGTATGATATTGAAATTAGCTATTACACATTCAATGTTATTTCTGCGTTTCAAAAATATTGTACTTTGTTACGC